AATATATAAGGAACTCATATAACTCAACAACCAAAAACCTAACAATCCAATTAAAAAAATTGGCCGAGGACCCGAATAGACTTTTCTTCAAAGAGGACATACAGATGGCCAATAGACATATGAAACGATGCTTAATGTCACTAATCATCAGAGAAATGCAAATAAAAACTACAATGAGATATCACTTCACACCAGTTAAAATGGATACCATCAACAAGACAAATAATAACAAGTGTTGGAGAAGCTGTGGAGAAAAAGGAACCCTCATACACTGTTGGTGGGAATGCAGATTGGTGCAGCCGCCATGGAAGGCAATACAGAGGTTCCTCAAAAAAATTAAGAATAGTATTGCCATATGACCCAGCATTCCCTCTCCTGGGTATATACCCCCCAAAAAACTGAAATGGTTTATCTTTAGAGATATATGTGCTCCAATGTTCATTGCAGCTGTATTTACGGTGGCCAAGACATGGAAACAACCAAAGTGTCCTTCGATAGACGATTGAATAAAGAAGATGTGGTATATATACACAATGAAATACCATTCTGCCATAAGAAAAGATGAAATAATGCCATTTGTGACAACATGCATGGATCTTGAGATTATTATGCTAACATCAGGTTTTCATTCGGTCTTAATCATTCATAATTAGATGGCTGATTCTCTGAGTAGACAGATGGAGTGTGAACCAATATGCCTTTAGATTTTTGTGTAAATAGAGATGCTCTCCAGTGGCATCCAGGCTCTTTTAGCTGTCAGTCCACTGTTGAAAGACTGCAGGTAGAACCACTGAGCTAAAAACAGGATCCCCATGTTGAGCAAACCTTTTACTCCCACTCCCACAGACTCACAGTCACTCCTGCCTCACATGGCTCAACACACATGAGCTCCCTAGACAAAGAGCTTTTCCATGTCTCCATGTCCTCACTTCTCTTTACCTTTGCTTGAGTGTAAATTTTTAGAGAAAATGGATGAATCTCGCAAATACATGGAGGAGATAGGACAAGGATGAAGCTGGTAAGTAAGTGAGGCTGATGATAGGTTGGAAGAGTTGGTGAGATTTAGGAAAGAGTTGGCAAAGCAAGCACCTATGTGTAAGTGAACATGCCCACTGGGTTGGGAGAGGGGCATGAAGAGCCAGGCTGAGACTTCAAAACGTTAGTCATAAAGCATCCAAGAGCTAGGAATTCATGTGTGTAATACGTGGGCAAGTGGAGTCCCCATCTAGAAGACTAGGTGATGCCCGGCTGGCTGGTCACCCAAGGACCTGGACTTGAGAGGGAGATAGAGGATGTGGACAAACTGAAATTCGCAGTTAAGCACAAGTGACTGTTCTGTAGGCAGAGAAGGTGAAGAGACCAGGGAATGTAATGTGGGGGCTGGTTGGAAGCCTGTCAGCGATTCCCCATTCAAGGCAAGGACAGGACTTGGCAGCTGTAAGAGT